GGGGGTGCTTGTAAGAGTCACATTAAGCGAGATTATAATTACATGTCGGGTCCGCGCCAGGCCGGCTAACGGTTGACGGCGCCCGGCGTCGCACGTCAAGATCCGGCGTCGCACGGTCAATTTGGCTGATGTCAGCAGCTGGGCCTCCAGCACACTGCCGACATGATGTGACGGACTGACACGTAGCAATTGTTCCAATGATTGTCAATTTTTGCATACGTCAGTCGTGCCACGGTGGCACACCGCTCCGCCACAGAAGGCATACAGCCAAATGTCTTCACTCCTGCGTACATCGGGCCTTGTTTTCAAGGCTGTTCAGGATGGCGCTGGGTATTTACCTGATTCTGTGCAAACAATTGAATCTTTCAAGGCCTCTAGAGCATCAATCCAGCTTTATGATAACCTCGGAGGAAGACGAGGAAGAAGCCCGGCCCCAGCCATTGGTTCAACCGGGCGAAGTAGACAGCGACCCCCCCGGGGCACAAAATACCGGGAACCGTATTCCCGTTCAGCTTGCCGCTTGCTACCGTCAACGGATTAATTCCAAGCATGATTAGACGACTGACATAGTGACGTTTCGTCATGCACATCCATCTCCACCTGGTTGAGCAATCCCGGCAGGAGCCCGGCGGAAAATCTATCAGCTTGGTCTTCACGTCCAAGATAGAAACTTGAAGTTGAAGGAGGAGCTTTCTAGCTGGACCGCCATGGCGCTGGGCTGGCACAAAAAGAGCGGCATCATGGTGTTTCAGAGCATGTGAGCTGGTTAACTTAACGTTGCTTATTGATGGCTGTGGCTGGGGGTGTCTTTCTCGGTGGTTGAAGCGTCACGAAGCGTTAAAAAGGGCTGCAAATGGCAGATTGAGGTTAAGCCGATGACGATTCGCAATGGGCTTCTCTGCGCAATTACCGCACAGGTAACGGAGGTTGACAGATTACTCCGGCCGTCAGATGCTTCCCGCGTCTTTTCGAATTCGAATTACGAACTTCCTCAGACATTTCATAAGGTATGGTTTCTTGCTAACGCCTTATTGAGAAATTTCTGTTTTAAGCTCAGTCCAGCTTTCAGCATAATCTCACATATCCTTTTCTTGCAATCCACGGCGTTTACCTCCTTCCTTTCTCACTTTCAAGATATTACTTAGGCGCTAAATTGCTTGGCTTTCGTTAGTGTTAGAATCAAACCACCCCTTTCTTTGTCACCATTTTTGCAAAACTGTCCAAAGCATCCAGCAACTTTGGCTTGGCTCTTAAGAATGGTTGCAAGCTGACTTTCCTGGGAGGTAAAAAATCATGGCTACCCAGCAGAGGAACGTGCTGGGTATGCTTTCACCCAATCTGTCATTAAGACAACCTCAAGCACGCCTTCAACTTCAATTTCCATTTCCCAAACTCCTCAGATGAAAAAGAAGAAAAGTGGTGACAAGAAGAGTGATGAAAGGTACATTGCATCAGCAGACCTAACATGTGAGTATGCACCTCTCAGGAAAAGGGGAGTTGATGACAGGGTTTATTCGAGAGACGAAGAAGACGCACTTCGCAGAGGGGGGCCAGAAACATAGATCTCTGGCTCACACCACATCTCTATCCAATTGATACAGGTAATGATTACCTTCCTCCAGTTTCCAGCCTCCCCAATCTTCTGCGATCGCTCTGCGAAGGAGGTCTGATCACCTATGCGTGGGCTTTGCTCCAGGCTGGGCAGCAAGATGCTATCGCTACGCAGACTCAGGCTCAGGAAGAGCTGAGCTTGAAGGCAGTTCGGATGCAGTTGTAATTGGATAAGGCAACGAGGTACTGGAACGGTTATATCTACCATGCCGGAAATTACCGGAAAATTGGGTTACGACACACTAAAACCCTAGGGTATAGGTGACGTAACCTTAAAATCGACCCAAGGAGGTGATTAACCCCCCACCCTACCCTACCCTAACCCAACCCTAACCCTAACCGCCGACCAGCCCCACCCGTCCCAGGTAGTGGCGTAGCCCCCGCCTCCCCTAACCCACCTTAACCCCCTACCGGCCCCACCCAGTCCCAGGCAGGCCCTAGGAGACCGATAATAAACGGTACATATGTTTCACGCAAACCGGAGGATCATCGAGTCGGCGGTACGTAGCCTAGTGGTCTAGTGCACTAGCCTAAGGAGTCTACAAGGCCCGGAGTTACGTGTTCGATACCTGGTCGGAAATACATACCGTACGTGACTTTTGCCGCGACACTTAGTCGCAGACTGGTCGCCGCGGATTTGCGTGGATTTCCGGGATGGTAGACATGAGCGTCCCCCTACAACGAGGAAAGCACAGGCTGCTGTCAATCAGGCCCAAGGGAAGCGGCTCCTCGCAGATCAGCGGTTGAAGCAAGCACATGAGGAGAGCGAGGAGAGGCGTAGGGAGATATAATGCCAAGCAGCCAGTGAACGTGCCGGTGAAGCAGCAGCTCATGCAGTGTCAGGATGCGGAAGGAGTTTGCATGTGACAGATGGGCTATGGTTAAGTCTAATCGCACATCGTCACCAGTAGGTTGACCTTCGGGTGCGCGCGTACGCCGGGTTGAGGCGTATGAGCACAGTATTGATGTGACGTAGTTAATGCTAGATTGATTAATTACGCCACCGAATAGTTCGTAGAGTGCAAGATAGGTATGCTGAGTCATTGATGTGACTGCATGATGTTGCAAGACTATGGCCTGACCAGGATTGCTCGGCATGGTGCATGGCGCTCTACTATGTGGTCGTAGTATGCGGTGTCGCGGTCCTACAAGTGCACAGCTGTCTTAGGCATGACTGGATGCGGCTACGGAACGCCTGAGGGCACTACTCGAAGCAGCCTTTCCACGATTTGAGACTTGGCTGAGTACTGACTGGAACAAGACACGAAACCTTGCGGGGATCATTCGAAGTGCGAATTCCCAACCAGCAAGCAGAACTGTCTTGGGCAGAAAGACGACATTTTTACAGAGCAAGCGCCTCCATCCGAGAATGCCTGCAACCATGGTTTCCGCACATGGCTGCCGTATGTATATGTAGTTATCCCGCCAGCGCTTCGTTTAAGCTGGCCAACTGTCACAATGGTATCAGAGGGCAAAGTTTTGGTCTCTTTGCAGAAATTGGAAGTGGGTCCATGTCGGACGACGAGCGCCTTTCGTCATACCTCGACAGAAGAACGGATTTGTGTTTTAGTATCTCGGAGTTGCGGTTGAAGAAAAGCTCTGAAGGGGAGGTTGCGAAGCCTTCCACAAGTACAAGTGCACTCAGCCCGGAGGCACCGACGTTTACTCCTGCAAGCAAGGGGAAGGAGTAGGCTTCTGGGGACCAGGAAAGCAAATCTGTTGTTTATGAGGATTGGGAAAGTTTTCCTATCTTGCCTTCTGAGAGTGTTTCACTTGCACCCAGTTACAGCCAGGTTGCTGGGTCTAGCTCTCAGGCGGTTTTTGTTACTCCTGTAATAAGAAGTGTTAGAGCTCAATCTGCTGAATCTGCCGAGTCGGGGATCACTATGGCTGGGGGTGGTGGTCCACCTGTTCCTCCGCCCCCTCCGCTGGCCAGTGGCACCGAACTTTGCCAACTGTACGGGTCCTCAGTTTGAGGCGTACTGGCAAGCTCTTGGTACTGATGGTGAAAGGATTGCGGCCGAGACACTGGCTCTGACGTTTCAGAACGCTCCAGTGACACTGGTTGTGTCAACTCATCAGAATGAGCGCAATCTCGGCTCGCATTGCCAATCTGAACACTGCGTTGGGCCGTGCCCAGAACCAGATCGGTGCTGCGAATGCCAACGCGGTAGCCAGGGTTGCAGCTCTCTCGAAGTTCGAGAGCAAGGAGAGTGGTCCTGACATTTGTCAGTGGTTGCACGTGATTGAGGAGTATCTCAATGCTACTCCCAATGCAGAGTATCTGCGTATTGTGTCTTCCTACCTTGATGGGAAGCGGAGGTCCTATTGGATATCGGCTTGGGAGGCATGGCAGGCAGCCGACCCTGGAGCGTATCTTGGGAGTGCAGTCCCTGGTTCGTTTGTTGGAAACGCTCGTGCGTTTTTCCGTGAGACCATGATCAGAGGCTATGGTCTTCGTACCCCCATTCAGTCTTATTGGGATACCTGGAACAAGTTGTCCCAGGGATCCAAGATTGTGGATGAGTACAATATCGAGTTCAACCAGGCAATGGTTAATCTTCGTGAAGAGATCACTGATGAGGCTGTCAAGATCGAGAGGTATCGGTCTGGCCTGCAGCCTGACATTAGGGAGCTCTGCCGTACTTCTCCTACGGGCGAGCGTTGGGCTACGAACAATGCACTTGGGAACTAAGCGACGTTGATGTGGCCAACTGTGGCTAAACGTCTGGCTAAGCGTAAGTCTTCCCAGCCTGCCAAGTCGGTGGGTGGTAAGCGTAAGGCCTCAGGAGGTGGTTCTGGACGTTCGTCCAAGGCCACGTTGTCGGCCGCTCTTACTGATGAGCAGTATGCCAACGTTATGGAGAACCGCCTGTGCCATATTTGTCACAAGCCAGGCCATATTGCACGTGACTGCGAGGAGGGTCCTCCCAAGGCGGGCGCGGGCAAAGGCAAAGGCCAGAAGAAGGGCAACAAGAAGTCGGAGAAGGGTTTCCAAAAAGACCAGCCAACGCATGACAGTTGTCTAGTCAGGAGAACTCTGTATTGGATCTGACAGAACATGACTTCCTGAACATTTCAAATGTTACTGGTTGTATATTTGATATGGGAGTTCAACGCTCAGAAGATTCCATCTCCAAAGATGTATGTCCTAATTCAGCTTTTCTATCATCGTCTATGGCAAGCAAGCATGTTTGGATAAACGCGAGTACAGCGAAGGATGTGACCGAATGTCTCAGGCATTTGCACTCCGCGTTTGTTGACAGCCATACTTCGACGTCTGCTTGTATGTTAGTACGTGATAGCATGCCTATTGCTTTGCCATTGCTGAAGGATTTTCGTGTTGTGCTGACAGTTCCGAAAGGTGGGTTGGTCCGTCAGTTGCAATCAGATAACATGTGGGCTGTTGTGCGAAGTCCTGAGAAGTTGCGAGTTTTGTTTCTTGCTTCTGTTGCTGACAAAGTGTCTGCTGAAGCAGGTCTCCTGATCAACAAGATTCTCGCAGCCTCGCGGAAGGGCTCAGCTACGTTGCCACGTATGATGTTTTCTCGTAAGGCAGCTGCGGCTAAGGCCAACATCCTCTTTGACTCTGGAGCGTCAGTGAACTTCGTTTGTGCCAAATTTGCTTTTAGCAAACATGCATTTCGGTAAGACCTACTGCTCAAACTGTACGTTTGGCAGATGGCGTGCCATGCCGAGGGCGGTCCGTGCCGGGTAGTGTCCAGATAGCGACACGTGGCGCAGACATGGCACGTGGCGGCGATAGGGCGAGCCGCGGCCAACTTGCGAGCCTGGCGCGCGCGCCGCGGGTAGAGTCTAGGGTTAGTCCACTAGTGGTAGACCGCCGAAATTACTGGCCGAGTCTAGGGTACGAGAACTTAGCCCATGATTGAGACTCGTGCTGGCCGAACCCATAGGGCCGAGGAGAGGTGATCCCTTCACTTCTTTTAGGCAAGTCTCCACAGCTAGGCGCATCGAGCATAAGGCGCTAGTGTTCATTGCATAGTGCAGCGAGCTATTGGCAGCATAGATTGTGAACTGTGGCGGAGGTTCTCCTCCTTTCAAGTGAGTGTGGGAAGAAGCGCTGTCAGCTCATGTGTTGTGCGTGATCGGAGCCGAAGCCTCGAGAAAGGGAGAAGTCACAACTTGAATGGCCATGAGCATTGCATGATCGGTGATGTGCATGCTGCATGAGAAAGCAAAAAGAGATCTACGGCACTTGCAGCGCCTCCACGCCGCCAATGTGTTTTGCGTGCAAGGGAATTGGCACGTCATCACTTGCCTAAAAGAAGTGCGGCTTATCTGGAGACAATGCTAAGATCTGAGCTGTCGTTTGCGTGATCAAGGGTTTAGCGTTGAAAAAATAACGCTTTATTTCCCTGCAGCGACAAGCGGCCGCTGTGAGTGCAAAGCCGCTGCAGCGAAGGGCGGGAATTAGCTTGGAGCTATACCGCCGGCGTGACAGGTCATGTGGTTCTGTGATTGATACAGCCACAGGTGAGCCGTTGGCAATTGTTGCCAAGAGGGGTAGCAATAAGCGCTGCCGAAGCATTGCTCTGCGGGGTAGCTTAGGCAGGACGATTTTCTGGTTGCGTGGAAAGGGTTGCCTTGTGCTGCGGTGTGTGCCGGCAGTGCTGGAAAAAGTTGCCTGACGCTGCACGGTGCGCCGGCAGTGGTGATAAGGGTTGCTTGCTTGTGGGTTGCGAGGGTTTTCCGCTTCCTTCATTATAATTGCTGCGCCGGCAGCTGGGCAGGTAGCGTAGTTAGCGCCGG